ATGAGCTAAATCTGCATTTGTATTTTGTGAAAAATTCTGACATCTCAAAAATTTTCTGATATCATTTTCGTCTCCAGCACAAAAAATTACATCAGAATTAGTTCAAGTTATTCAAACAGCTTTTTGGTTGCACACCTGGATAACGAGTGGTAAGAATTTTTTTGTTGCATGTTGCCGACAAAAACTCTGTCAAAATATTTCTAGGCTCAGTGAATCGACTAAAAAATCATAACTACGTAAAGTATTAATACTTTTTATCCAACTTTAGTTTAATCGATTCTTCTTCATAGAGTGCCGTCTCCCTACGGAGGTTGGCAATCATAATGGCTATTTTTATTTTAGAACTTGCTGCTCTAAACAAATCAATCGATCTGCATTGGTACCAATCACGTAGATTCTTTAACCATGAGTTCTGCCTTCGGCCAACAGATCTTCTTCCTTGATTAAGTTTAATCGATGGAATAAGACAATAAGATAATAAGACAATTCATAAATGATTTATATGTGCGGGTGTACTATCAATATTTCTATGTGTGTAGTAAAAATACAAAAACATCGATTATGCTTACCAAAAAACCGGAAGTATTGTCTAAGAGACATCGGAAGCGCACGGTAAAACTTCGTTCTAACAAATGGCAATTTTCTGGCAGAAGAACATCTTGAAGACCCATATTGGATGACTCGGGTGGAAGAAACGAATTCCACATCAGTTGTCGTTGTAATTCTTCTCTATCTTCTGAGTGGACCAATTCGTATACAGACTGGTGGACAATGTCCGACTAGAAATATCGATAAATTTGTTATTATTATAAAATATGAATATAAAAACTGTGAATATACTTAGGTTGTCCAGAAAGTAAAGAACGTTTTGGCATAAAAAATTAAAAACAAAAGATATGAACACAAAATTTTATTTAGAAAGTCTATGTTTGAACGTAGTTGTTAAGGCATTAGTAGACAAACTCCTGATCTAGTATATTACTTCCTTTCCACCTAAGATTTCTTCATTTTCCGGAACGGATGATAATCTAAATGCACGAGGTTAAGGCTGAAGAGAAGGTGCTTGAAAATTTCTTTGCTGAGTTCTTGCGGATACATGGGTCCGATCATTGTCGTAAATTAGCAATACCTTCGTCGACAACATGCCACGTCGTTTATTCTGTATTGCATGTTTTAATCTTTTTGGAGAGTTTCACTTAAGAGCGTAGGCGCAAAATTTCGGGCCAATGCTTTTTAACTGCATTCATTTTTTTTTTGAATCCTGAGAAAACTAATAAATATTTTTGAAAAATTTAAACGCAGGAATGAAAGATTGCGTTATTACCAAGGACCGAAAGTCCCTTAGAATAAACAAAAAGTTATTTTGAATAAGATATTTGAAATTAAAAATCACACTAAATTTTCTCTTCTCTTTCACCCCTGTAACTTATTAAAATAAACATTCTAGAAGTTTTCAGGGACTTTCGGCCCTCAGTAGTAATGTAATCTTTCATTCTGAATTTGAATTTTTCAAAAATACTTATTAGTTTCCTCAGGATTAAAAAAAAACAAATGCATTTAAAAAGCATTGGCCCGAAATTGCGCCTACCTAAAAACCGAATCGCACTTAAGACCGGGAGAACTGGAAGAAGTAAGGGAAGGCCAATGTTCAGCTTCATGACGATGATGATGAAGAGGACACAATAGGATTAAGCTCTTAGAATTTAAGTATACAGTACTGTCGCGTTAATCCGAACGGAATCGGGAAACGGGTTGGTCGGATGATCGCATCGTTCCAATTACCTATGACTTTTTTATTGGGAGACGAAAAACTGCAAAAACATAATGAAAATGACAGAAAATGCTTTATGTACATTAATAAAATATATTATACAAAATATATATATATATATATATATATATATATATATATACAATATAATTAATAAATACATATTATCTACGAAGGAGGTCGCGTTTCGATATATTTTGAGTCTCTTACCACTCCCTGACGCGTGTTTCTGGGTCTACCCGTCATCAGAAGGAGTTTGTAAGAAGACTCAAACCAAATCAAAACGCACCGACTACTCTGGCAATTACAGGAAAATAACTACAGGAATACGCTACTAGAGACCTCTAGTGAGGAAAGATGAAGGTAAATATGTCGATAGCAATTAAAGTAAACTGTATACACAAGCTTAATCAAGCCATTCAGAGCGTAGCTGGGAATAATTATATTCCACTATGTACCAACAATTTACCCATATAAATTACCATCATTCTTGTACTCATGGCGTCGACTAAGGACGATAAATATACGAAGAAGGTTGCGTTTCGATTTAATTTGAGTCTCTTACCACTCCCTGTCACGTGTTTCTGGGTCTACCCGTCATCAGAAGGAGTTTGTAAGAAGACTCAAAATAAATCAAAACGCACCGACTACTCTGACAATTACAGGAAACTTACAAACTCCTTCTGATGACGGGTAGACCTAGAAACACGTGTCAGGGAGTGGTAAGAGTAAATCGAAACGCAACCTTCTTCCTATATTTATCGTCCTTACTCGACGTAATGAGTACAAGAATGATGGTAATTTATATGGGTAAATTGTTGGTGCATAGTGGAATATAATTATTCCCAGCACCGCTCTGAATGGCTTGATTAAGCTTGGGTATACAGTTTACTTTAATTGCTATCGACGTATTTAACTTCATCTTTCCTCACATATTATCTATCTAAAATTTCAATGGGGAGCAGAAAAAAAATCTGTAATGTTTTATCTGGACGCCAGTCTCGACGTGCTGATAAAACGCTCTGTCTCTTAAACGCATTAGCATCATGATCTCGCTGCTGTTGAGGTTTTCTTCTTCCCAATTGAGGGCCGTGTTGAGCTTTAACAGCTTCAGCAGCAGAAGTTTTTGAAGCAGGTGGTTCATAATTGACATCCTTCTATTCTGTTTTTTGATTTTTAATGACTCTTACAATTTTTTCATCCGTGAGCCTTTCTTGCGTGTCAATTTCTTTGTCACAGCCAACTTATGCCCATTCTCGAACCTCAGATTCAGTAATAATTATTGTCGTGTTGTCTTGAGTCAGATGAGCGGCCAGGGCACTTAAAACGATGTTTTTTCGTTGGATGAAGAGTCGTCAACAGCCAATAAGTTAAGGCTCAAGTTTTTTTAAGAAAGTTTAATCAAACGTTGTGAAATAGATGACCGATAATTTGCCAAATTGAAATCGAGGTCCTTTAGATTAACTTTCTGCAAAGCTACCATCAGATCCGTTCCACTTTGCTCGTCAGCAAGAATTTTGGAGAGTAAAGCTTTTGGACAGCCCAGTTTTGTATTCTGGATGATATTCTGGTCCAGTGGTTGAATCATAGCTGTCGTTTTGGGTGGTAAGAACACCAAAATTATTTAGACAGAGTCATTAGGTGGTGCAATAAATCGAGGACGACCCTAAATTCCTTAAAAACACAATTAATTTTATTTAAATCTTCAAATTGTCGCAATGTCCAAGGCCGAATAACTTTGTTAGGAAAGGACTTTATTCTCAGAAACTCAGTTTCCTATTTAGGAGTTCATTTTACTAGGAGTCTTAACTAGAAAACCGACATTCAAGATACCATTGACAGGGTGAGAAGGAGGTTTAAACTTCTGGCAGGCTAATTGGGCAAGATGTCATCTAAAATATTATTGCACACATATAATACTTTCATTAGTCCTATCATCGAATATGGTATGCATCTACGCCTCCCTTAAAACCTAGCAAATCAATGCCATCATGCTACCGACAGAAAAATTATCAGATTCTGCATGAGGCAGAGCAGACACTATCCATCAGAGCACATATACATACTGGCAAATATAACACCCTTCAAACCATTACAGGCTCGAACAACTGACCAAAACAAATATTAAAGACACTTTGCAGTTGCTGAGGGCAAATACTCACCAGGTTTCCTCAAAGAAAAGTTCCGTTCCCTCCAGCTAAACTTCTTCACAACACTGAAAACGAACTTCCTGATGAGTATTTTGATATCTTAGAAACATTCCCCATTAAATATCGCAGCTAACAACTGCACGCCAAAAATGCCGATTAAGAGCCGTTCCTATTGTATGGCTTCTTAGTAGTCCACTACTTCTTCACACATACCATCATTCATCACGTTTTATCATACCTCCATTACTCCGATAAAAAAGGAGTACCCCTTCCTTGAAAAAGCGAAAAGCTTTAACAAGGTTAAAACTCTAGATCCTGGTAACAACATGGCAAAACTTTTACCATTTTCACTTCGAAGTTCATCAGCGGATGGATGACCAGCAACACTAGCTCCTGAGGAAGATTCATACGTGCGAGATGACAACGAACATCAGGGACGAATTCAGTTTTAAACCAATCCAAGAACAAATCTCTTGTCACCCATGGACTTTTTTGTGCATGCAACAAGCAAACGAAGTTTATGAGTCCCTGAAGCATTTGCACAATGTATAAAGGTGATTCTTTCTTTCATAATTTTTCGACTAGGAGCGTTCTTTTCTTGAGATGACACCAATATGTGGTCTGGTAACATGAGCCAAAATAACTCACTTTCATCTGCATTGTAAATTTGCTCAGGTGTCAAATTTTTTTTAATCACAAGTTCTTCAAATGCAGTTCGGAATTGTTCGATGAAACTTTCGCATTACTCGAAAGTTTTTCCCCAGAAATTTTGAGATGTCTAACTCCAAAACGTCGTTTGAAGTTGTGTAACCAACCCTTACATGTGGTAAAAACTTGGTGACTTGGTGACATTTGACAATGACGAGCTCTTTTACACAAAATTTCAGCACTTACCGGAACATGCTTTCTCCGGTATTGTGGGAACTCCATGAACAACGCACTTTCTTTTTTTTATGTTAATTTTTTTTTGTTCTTTTTAGTGTCCGTAATGGTAGATTTGCCAATACCGAACCATTTTTGAATGAAACTGTAGCTAGTGTCTTGCTGTATCAACTTAAGAATTTTAGTCTTTTGTTCGATAGTCAAAGTCACGTGTTTAGGTGGAGCCATCGTGATACGAAAGAACTTAATGATACGTAGGTAGGCAAGGAAAGTAAAAACCGATGTTGGTCATGTTGATTCATGTCGATTCAATTGTGGGACGAAGAGGAGAGTCGCGCGAGCTAGTTTGGACTACCGCGTTGTTCGGACGACCTTGGGTTTGGATTAACGCGATCGTACTGTAATTTAAATCAAAGTTTAAGTCAAAAAAGAACTAATAATTGGTCAACTGTGACCAGATTTTAGTGGTATAAACACAGCATAGGTGTTTAATAAACAAAAACCCCACTTCTAGCTCATGTTGCATATTGTTAATTCTACTCAGCTGTGGAATGTAAAATCTTCAACTATTACACCTTTAAAATGATTGCATTGCTCCTGTTGCCATGTTTTCCAAGTTAATTTTATGTTACGAATATAGGCCATGATGAACGGCATTTGGAGTGCAATTTTTAGACTCCCTTGCCGATTCATTCATCAAGCTGTTTGCTTCGCAAGTTTTAGGGAGCACGGTGGCTTATATTTGAATTCGATTTCGCCAGGTAGAAATCGTATCATTTCTCTTTTTGTTCTTAGATGGCGTAGTTACGTCCGTAAATAGTTATTAACTATAATCTACGACGGGAAAATATTTTGGTTTGATATGGAATAGTAACTATACCGTACTGAGGAGATCTAAAGAGATCGAAATACGTATATGCGGTTTGTTGCTGCTCTGTATTAAATCAAAATCTAATACCGTCATTTTGTTGTGTTGTAATTTTATGTATTAAAACTTGGTTGTACTTTTCTGATACAGACCAACAACTCAGAAATATGTATTTACGATTGCATTTTATCATTCACATGTTACTCGCAGTTCCCAGGTATGTTAAGATCAGCTGTCTTCTTGATCACTAATCTCTGAGTTTTCCTTGTCTCTTAGTCTGGTTATGGCGTTGTCATTTTCATAGAGTTATATTTTCTTTCATTAATAATAATGTATTTTGCCTTCTGGTCTTTTAATTTCAAATTATTGGTGGTTTATTTTATGATTGTTGTTTGTATTTTTAAGCAAAAAGGAAACCTTTTTGCTTAACAATATAGTTTTCAGATACTCACCTGATGAAATCCTAAATAACCTTCTATACTATGCGTTGCGAAGAAAACTTCTCCATCACAAGTTAAAATTATAAGGAATCCATTAAGTGCCTGAAATATAAAGGTAAATATCATTAAATAAATAAAGGTAACAAAAAGATCATATTGTTCAAATTTTAAGATTCCTAATTATATGTACAAAGAAATTCCTTCAATTCCTACTATAGTCAACGGCAAAAAAGTGGCAACCGTAGACATTTTCGATAATAAAAATTCATTGAAAGTTTTATGCACTGTTTCATATTGCGTCAAACCCATCTGAATATTATACATCCTATTATCCAGTTCACGATGGAGATGGAAACAAATTCATCCCTACCGTTTCTCGACGTTGTCATAAAGAAAAACTAATCCCAAGGTTTCCATTACTCTGTTTATCGAAAACCCACACATACCAATCGTTACTTGCATGCCAACTGTCACCATCCACCTTCACAAATTAATTCAGTCAATAATACCCTTATTACATATTAGTATTGTCAGTAAACTTTAGGTGTAGAGTACAGCTTACTCTAAATTCATTATTTTTTAAATAACTATAATACAATTTAAATTTAAAAGTAAGTACTTAAAACTAATCGTACCTGAAGAAACATTTCTCCATCTAGAGGAGTGTGGTCAAAGGCTGTGAGATCCCGCTGACGATGAAGCCCGTCATCTTTATCTTTGTGCATGACCACTGAAACAAAATATTGCTCAATTACATAATCGAACATTTTTTTATTGATATAGTAATATATGAAATATGCATATCTAATTTTAATTTCTAAAATTGCTTAAATTTGCAAAAACTGGCAAGGTTATTCTTCTTAGGCACTGAAATCCCCTGAAATTTAATTACCTAAAAATTACCTGAAATTTAATTTATAAAATATATAAATATTATTACATAGAGATCATAAAAAACTTAAAAAACAACAAAGCACCTGGTGAAAATGGTGTCATTGCTGAGTTTCTAAAAGAAGGTGGCGAAATGGTGCAAGAAGAAATCGCTGAGTTAATACGCGAAGTGTGGATCAAAGAAAAAATACACAATCAGTGTAAAGAAGCAATCTTATGTCCAGTGCACAAAAAAGGAGACGTTACAGCATGTAAAAATTACAGGGGAATAGCTCTACAAGATACAGTGTATAAGATTGAAAATTGTCTAGGTGAATATTAAGCAGGTTTCAGAGCAAACAAATCGGTAACAGACCAAATTTTTACAATGAAACAAATTTTAGCTAGCTCATATGAATTCAACCTAACATTACACATGCTGTTTATTGATTTTAGACAGGCATATGATATCATAAAAAGAAATTAAGTATATGAAGCACTAGTATATTTTGAATTTCCACCAAAAATAGTAAGACTGACTAAATGCATACTCAATGATACTAAAAGTAAAGTCATGTTAGAAGGACGGGTTTTGGATAGCTTTATCACCAATAGAGATCTGCGACAAGGTGACCCGTTATCAACAGATTTTTTCAATTTGATCTTAGAGAAGATTTACGAGAATGTAACATCTACACTAGAGGCACAATATATCATCACAGGCATCAATTCGTAGCACATGCAGATGATGTTACCTTAATAACAAAGAGACCTGCAGAATTAAGAGAAATCTTTACTATAATAGAGAGAATAGCCAGGAAATATGGTTTAGAAATAAACGAAGAAAAAACAAAATATATGGTGATGAGGGGAAACGAAAATCATCTAGGACAGTCCTTTAAGATACAAAGCCCAAGTAAAGAATATATCTTTGAAGTTGTTAGCCAATTCGATTACTTGGGAGTAACACTAACAAAAAGGAACGAAGAGAACCAAGAAATCATAAAAAGAATGGCCAAAGGTAGTAAGAGTGCTGGGAGTCTGACTAAGATACTGAGGTCGAAGATAATATCCAGAACAGCAAAAAAAAAAAAACGAATATATACAACAGTTATCCGATCTACAGTACTCTATGCTAGCGAGACCTGGACACTAAATAAAGATATGGAAGTAAAATTAGAGAACGAATGAAGAAATAATGCAAATATATGGGCAACCAAAAATAACAAGACTCGCTAAAATTCAAAGATTAAGATGGCTCGGACATATAGCAAGAATGAAGGAAGGAAGAGTTCCCAATGAATTAATAAACACGGAGGCTGGTACAAAAAGAAAAAGAGGCCGCCCCCGAAGAAAATGGCTGGAGTCGGCAAAAGAAGATTGAAGTTGCTGCGGGTACAAGATTGAAAGAAATGGAAGAAAACCATTGAAGCCTTGGGTCTTTGAGGCCTGTTGAGCTGAACTATATATATATATATATATATATATATATATATATATATATATATATATATATATAAATATTATTACAACATTGATATGAAATGAAATTCTTACGGTGAATTTCAAATGAACTCAGTTTTTCCGAGGTTTCCCATATTTCCCGGCCAGTAAAAACTATGTAGTTATTCATATTTCGACGAGCTAAATCGGATTAAAAAAAGAGGCTTTTAGCTGCAATAGAAGCCGAAATAATCTAAATTTTTCCTACGTGTTTTAATTTGAAGTTCCGATCTCGAAAAAAAAAAAACGGAGCTGAAACAACTATCCCCTCCACTTTCCTATGTCGATCTATCGAAAGTATTTTCGTTTCGAAGGGCTTGTAAGTTTCGAAAAATTGGATGAATTTCATAGTTATAAATTTCAATATAAAGTTTTGATATTCATTCAAAATTTGTGCAAATTTTACTTCTTAACGAGAGCCTGTAGAGAATTTGGAATGAAATTGAATACAAAGAAGACAAAAACGATGGTCATCAGCAAGCACCAAAACAGAAGGGTGAAGGTCAATGTCGACGGAACAGATCTGGAAAGAGTAACAAGAACAACGTACCTTGGAAGTAATCTTGATGAAACTTGGGACCACTCACTAGAGATAAGAATACGCCTGGAAAAGGCACGTACAATGTTTTACAAAATGCAAAAAGTTCTATGCAACCGCCAGCTGGGCATCTCATTGAGAACTAGAATACTTAAGTGCTATGTTTCTCCACCTTGCTCTATGGTGTTGAAGCCTGGACAGAAGCAACACAAAAAAGAATCCAAGTATTCGAACTCTGGTGTTATCGTAAAATGCTCAGAATATCCTACATGAGCCATATGACAAATGCGGAAGTCTTGCGGAGGATGAATAAGGAAAGAGAGCTTATGCTTATAATAAAAGAACGGAAAACACAATATTTTGGTAACATCACAAGAAATCAAAAGTATGAACTGCTCAAACTTATAATCGAAGGCAAAGTCAATAGCAAAAGAGGACCAGGAAGAAGACGTAACTCTTGGCTTAAAAACCTACGGCAACGGACAAACATGACCTCCATAGAACTATTCAGGGCTGCTACAAATAAGATTAAATGGGCAAATGTAATGGCCAACGTCCTTAAGGATAAGGCACCGTAAGAAGAAAAAGAATGTTTATAAACAATGGAGATATGATTTTTTAAAAAATAGTCCCTAACTTCGTTCTTATTGGTCATAGAAGGTTTTTCTTTTTTAAATGTGAATTTTTTTCCAGCTATCCAATGGTTGTACGTACAAGTCTGTAGCTTGAAAAATATAGAAGTTATTACAATGGTAAAAGTAAAAAAATATACCCCTTTTTCAAACGTTTATTTTGTAAATAATTTTGATGAAAACGCAATATGCATTTAACTTCTGAGATAGTTTAAGTCTTAAAGAATCCTATGAAGTTTGCTAAATGTGTCTAGCATCATTAATAAAGCAAGTTCAATAGTTTAAATATTTAGCCTTAGGGATAAATAAATTGAATAACTTTTAAACTATTTGACCGATCGAGAGGAAATTTTGCACAAATTTAAAAGAAGGTAATTCCCGATGTTCAAATGTGTTAATAACATTTTATTTTGTTAATAAAAAAACTAATATAATTTCTAAATTAGTGCAAACAACTGCTTTTTTGCAAATATCTCCGAAAATTATTTATCAATTTTAATTTAAAAAGCGAAAAAATAAAGATATTATTGATGTGAAAAATGATATGAATATTGTTTATGTAAAATATAAGGGCAAAAACTTGGACAAAATAGACAAAAAAATCAAATTGTGACATTTGTGACCATAAATTATTGTTTAAAAAAAACCCAAGTACATACGACTACTTTTTCATCTATTCGTCATCTATACTCTGTTTTTTAACCAGGAGGAGTAAACCAAAAAGACAGATTCACACCCAAGAAACTTACTAGAAAAGTCACCAAATACATCTTCTTTTTTTGTTGTATATCTCGGCCTTGCGGTTATCGAGTAATCAATATTGGACAACCTTACACGTCCATTCTAACCTAACTTTATGTTTTAATAATATTTTTTTTTTTTTTATTTAAAAGACGTTTTTCACATTTGGTCCCATGTATATATATTTAAATATCGGGTGATCCAGTTTTATAGATCTTTTGAATCGATGGTACTTAATTTAGAGGATATTTTGATCCAGAGAGTCAATAATGTTACAGATCTAAGTATGGTTTTTCTCAGAAATTTGTCTTTTAATTTGCAAATAGATCTTATATGCAACAAAGCTATGCAAATGCATGTATCAAAAAGTTAGAGAGAGTTTAAAGATTTCTGAAGTACTGTTCTTTTAAACTGCGTAGACCATATTCTTATTCTGGTGTGATTAATTTCTTGAATCTAGGTTTTTTTCTTACCAGAAGAATTAACTTTGACTTTGATCATTATTTTTAAGCTTAATAATCCAATCTCCTGAATTGCTTCAGCCAGTTTGTTTAACATATTCCTTTTCATGCACTGCTTTATAATTGACTTTTTCATGTTTCATATCACAGAATAAATTATGGTTCAAATATAGGTGTGGTCCTACTTTTCATACATGGTAATCAGTTACCTCATTAGATAGATTTAACTTATGTATCAATATCTTAAGGATCTATTTGAAGCACTAAAATGCAAAACAATAAATTTGTATAAATAAGTGTGTACTTGCAATTTCTTTAATGCTGGATTCTTGTTTAATTTTGACAGTGAGTTTGTCCCATTTGGTATCAATAAATAAAATTTACTAAAAAATACTGGATTTCTGTGAGATAATCAACTAATTCAATCTATTATGTTACATTCTAGTATAATTTTGCAGTTTTCTTGTGATGATCTACAACAGGAAGAACAAAACCAACTGTATCAATACAATCAAAGTAAAACACAACATTACTAATGTTCTTTTATTGTGATGAAAACAAAATGAAAATGCTTTTTAACAAGTATACACTAAATTTAAAAGATAGTTGCCGTTTTTCTATGATAATTAGATATAAATATACATTTATGAATTTATAAACACTATAAACTCTATTTATTATAAATATCAGCTAGAAAAATATCACATTAAATACTATTATCGCATATCACCAAGTCAAAGTTATTACAAAAACAACTTAAAGAGTCAGAAATCGATTTATATAATATTCTGTGCATAATATATATTCGGAATGAATGTAAAAATAAAAATTAATTGTGAAATTAAATTGGTGAGATTAATGAACAACTACACCATTTTGAATTTCTTGATTTATTTTTTCAGCAAAAACTGAATAAATTTCAGATATTTGAGCAAGAAAGTTTTGTTTTTGGTCAGCAGCCCAATATATAAACTGTTCTTTGAATAATTTCCCCTAAAAAATAACTATGGTAAAACATTCATAATATAGACAATAAATCAATCATCCTATAAACAGTAAGATAAACAATTTATAGTTTTGCTATGTAATATTTGCTGCATTGAATCTGCATATGTAAAGTAAAAATATCCTTTTTTTCCTTTTCTTCCCTTTCCATGTTCTTATATCTGTTGAACCAAAATACTTGACAACATTCCAGTAAAGTATACAAATAAAAACTTAAAACTTAATATTTAATAGTAACAATAATATACCTGATTATAAAAATGAAATCTATAAAATGTTTTAGTTAATTTTACTATATAATTGTAGCTAACCCATATTTACATACCGATATTTGTACTTACTTCAAATTGATTTGCTTCAAGAATTTATATAATAATAAACGACACATATTTTGGAAGATCTGAGCGGTTGTTAATTTCACTTAAAATTTTACCTAAAGTGAGCATTTCATTCTTTGAAAAAGAAGCTGTGTACTATCTGTCGTATAGATGTTTTAACTATTTTTAGGACATTTTACTGCTCCAGTCTGCTTATATTCTTTAATTGTTCTAAATTCTATTGTTGTAAATAGTTGAATTCGCAACACCTAAAATTAGCACATTACTTTAGTAACTCTTGATTTTAATAATAACTATTCTGTTAAACTAACCTGCTGCCTGTTTTATTTTTACTACCGTGGCTGTTATTTTTATTCCAGAATTATCAATTTTCATGTTTGTACATGTTTATAGTACGTTATTTCGCATTTGATGATAAATGATCCAAATCTACTCGGCGTTTTTAAGGTTGAGAAGAACAATTACCACTAGTACTTGGCATTAAATCCATATTGTTATCTTAATAACACTAATATGTCGCTAAATAGTTCTGAAAAGAACTGTTTTTTATATAAATGCAAACGAAAAATCTAACGATGTAAGAAATAACACAGAAAATACAAAAAATTGTCGATATAAATTTTGAATTTTAAAATTTCACGAATGTCATTAGTGTCAATATGTCATAATTTAGTGAAGTAAACTTGCCTGCGCTTCGACCAATTACAAACAAGCATTATGGCGCGGAAAATTTGAATTACTCCTCCTGGTTTAAAAACAGACCATAGTAAACCCTATGTCTTAAAAACTTCAGATATCTGCGAAAAATTTTGCCGTAAAACGATGATTTTTGCATAACCAGACTGGGCTATCTGAACTGTCTGCGATTATAACTTTGTCATCGGCATTCTATTTTATACAGAATTTTTCAAATTGTTACATAGTTTTTTCAAAATTCAAAATTGATCTAGCGTGTTAGTAACTGTGTTCTTCGTACTGTGTTCTTAGTTTTTTAATAAATGCGTAATGTTTCTATTTTATGACACAATTATTTAACCTAAAACCTCATAACCTCACTTATACTTCATTACCTTCTGTTAATCGGGATATGTACTATTAAACTTGTTGCTCCAATTTTTATGAAAAGCCGTAATGCAAATATTTTCTTATTAGATTGTAGTGCACGAACGTTACCTGTGAAAATTGCTGCCATTTCTTCATGCTAATTAAAAATTAATGACTAATTAAAATATCCATTTAGGAGTACGTGTTGATCTACCGTTTTCCAGAGTCGGATTTAAGAGAAAGTCTCTGGAAGTGTGCACACTAAATAGAATTACATATGATAAATTGTCTCAATCAATATAGATACTCATCTTAACTTGATTTTACTGAAAAATTGTTAGATGTAGACGAATATATTGATCATATTTTAAAATATAAGAAAACACACCGAAAATGTAAGGTAAATAACGCTTCAACAAACGCTAGATTTTATTTTATGTTTAACCGCTTTAGTTACAATTTCTATGACACTATAGTCCAATAAAGGTATTTTAAAATGTATTTTATATGGGGGGAACCCCATCTTCTTATTTGGGAAGCATCTCTTGCCGTCTTTACTACTCTATTTATTGTCATTCAGCTTATATAATCGTTCTATTCTACTCTTGTTATTATACTACTATTCTATTCTACTATTTGTTATTCAGTTCTTGATGTTCTTCACCTTGCATCTGTTTTCATCTTACAAATATTAGTTTGTATTTTGAGAACGATTTCCGAAGTGAAAATTGAAATGTCAATAAATGTATTTTAACCTTTAATTGTGGCTTATTTCCATTTAAATTAATTTAAAATACCACAAAAAAATAGCTTCAGAACAATATTATTTAATTAAACAACACATTAAGCCTAATTTGACTCAAGTTACTAATGTCCGTTCTCTTATTCAGAATGTTAGGGTATTTGAGTATCGAACACATTTCCAAAAACTGCCTTTTTACGATATTGCGTTCGTTGCCAAGAATCTTAACTTCATTAAAGTCAACTTTGTGAGTAGTGTTAATAGCATGCTGGACAAGAGCACAAGTATCATTAGATAAGTTAATATCACTGCGGTGTGTCGTAAGACGCCCTCTCAATGATCTTTCTGTCTGAGCGATGTAGCACGAGTCACACTTAGCACAAGGTATGTGATAGATGACATTTACTTGTTCCAAAAGGGACAAGGGTGTTCTTGTTTTAGAAAACAAATTTCTGACAGTCTTGGCATTCTTAACTGCAATTTTAACAGGTCCATTATTATGTTTATACAACTTAATAAGTCTTTCCGTAACTTTAGGGAAATAAGGTAAAGGGGAGTAATGGGTAGTTGGAGTCCCAAGTACAGTAGTAGGCAGAACAGTGTTATTAATGGAATTATTTTATATTATTCTAAGTTGGTCACCATTGGGTATGTCATTTAATGAGGAACCATAGCTTTGTAAATAAAGCTATTTATTAATGAGGGAAGATGGGTAGGAGTTCTCAATCAATATGTTTCTAAGTAATTGAAGGGATTTACTTCAATTAACCGGATGTGTTAGTCTATTCTTCACATCTATGCCCCGACTGCAGATAGAAAATATGACGACGAAGTCGAGAAGTTGTATGATCAGATCCAAGACATCTTACAGAAACTTAATAAACACGTAATTTTATATATTATAGGCGACTTCAATGCAAAAATTGGTGAAGGTCGACGAGGTCAAACTGTAGGTGTTTATGGTTTAGGATAACCTAACGATCGAGGACAGAGATTGTATGAATTCTGTAAAGAAAACGATATGATCATTGCAAAAACCTGGTATAAACTACCCAAGCGACGACTATACACTTGGAAAGCCCATTTGATGATGGCAATAACCCTGAGTCTTCAAGAAATCAAAAAGACTATATAGAGTTCCCTCTGTACTTGTTGACACTAATAACAAAATTATTGTAAATGAGCACGCAATAAGAAAAGAATGGCAGCTGTATATATCGGAATTGTTTGAAGAAGACAGGAATAAAATTGTCGAATTCTACCAAAAACTGTACTGACGACCCAGAAATTATGAAATGCGAAGAACATGATATAAATAATGCTAAAATTAGAAAAGCTTGTGGTCCAGATGATACACCAACTGAGTTGCTGAAACTAATAGAAAATGATAACATAAAAGTATTAGTAAGACTTTTTAATTCAATATATAACACGGAGTGATTCCCGCAGATTGGCTCAAATCCATCTTTATCGCAATATCTAAAAAATACAATGCGAGAAAATGCCCAGAATATCAATTATTTAGCCTAATGAGCCACACTCTTAAAATTTTCCTTAAAATACTTCACAACAGAATTAGACGCAAAGGCGAAGAAGATCTTGAAGATGCCCAATTTGATTTTAGAAATGCAAATACTGAAAAATATCGGAATAGATGACAAGGATATTCGTGTCATAAAAAATTTGTACTGGAATCAAACTGCTATTGTAAAAATTGGAGATAACTACACCGATGAAATCCCCATACAACGAGGAGTCAGACAAGGTTGCATTTTGTCGCCAACATTGTTCAATGTTTACTCGGACCAGTTATTTAAAAAGGCACTTGAAAGACAACCATATGGAATAAAAATCAACGGGAAACTACTTAATGTGATTAGATATGCAGACGATAGAGTAATTCTATCAGATAATATTGAAGGTCTTCAAATTCTGCTTGATCGTATTCACGAGGTAGGAGAGGAAATGGGCATTAAAATAAACCAAATTTTTGGTATTTAGTCGTGACCCACATCCCGATGCAAAGCTTCAATTGAACGGAGTTCAAGTGAGAGAGGTATGTCAAATGACACATTTGGGAACTGTGATAACGGACCAACTAGATCCAGACATAGAAATAAGACGTAGAATAGCAATGACTAAAACTACTTTTCTCTACTCTACTAAAAGTCGATATAAAATTTTACAACTGATCCTTAAAGACAAAATAGAGGGCCGTAGAGGTGTAGGAAGAAAACAAGTTTCTTGGTTAAAAAACATTCGTGAATGGACTCAGATACAAAATGCAGGACAATTATTCCATATTGCAGAAGATTGAGAAGCCTTCGTAATGGTGATCGCCAACGTAGGATAAATCTGATATGACACGCGAAGAAGAAGAAGAAGTTAGTTTATTCAGCCTGCAGCTTAAAGCTTTAATAAGGTTTAATTTATATTCAAAGGGGTGACAAGAGTGGGGTGAGGGTGACAAGAAGGGTAGTTGAGAAACTTACTAGAGGCCATTGGTTTCCTATACCAACTTGTGGTTAAGGTGTTATCTCACATTCTAATGACACGCATCTCTAAGAAGGGAATACTATTGGTGATGAGGTCCTCAAGTTCAACAGTGAACTGTAAATGAGTGTCAAACTCAGTGAACAAAGGCAAGGTGGCCTGTATCTTGTCTGGAGGTAAGGCTAGTAACAGGTCATCAACATAACGCTTAATAAAAGAGATTTGGAAATCTAAAAGACCCAAACGGTCAGATACTAAATCATCCAGTACAAAATTAACTAGGATGGGAGAGATTGAGCATCCCATAGCTGTCCCAAATATTTGTAGACAATATATGTCATCAAAGACCAAAAAATTGGTGTATTTAATAAATATATACTCCTAAATTGGGCAAAAAAGAGGAAGATTATGAACATTTAATTGGTAACTATGGCTACGGGAAAAGAAACGATAGAGGAGAAATGCTTCTCAATTTCATGAATGAACATAACATGTACTCAATGAACTCCTTTTTCAATAAAAAACCAAGCAGAAAATGGACATGGATGAGTCCCGATAAAAAGACAAAGAATGAAATAGATTATATCTTAACGAAGAATAGAAACCTAGTAGAAGACGTATCATTATTAAATCAGTTTGACCTAGGAAGCGATCATAGACTAATAAGAACAAAACTAGTAATTAACAAAAAACTAGAAAGAAAAAGAATACATGAAAAAAGATACAAATGGACATCTGAAGAAATCAAAAATAGTGAATTTAATAAAAAGATAGTGCATGCATTAAATCAAGTTAGCATGCAGCAGATAAACTCCAATGATATTGATGATTTGAATAACCTTATTACCGAAACAGTGAATAAAAGCCTTCTGCAACTAAAAAAACCGAAAACAACATGCAATGAATTAGACAAAGAAATATTACAACAAATAGAAAGAAGGAAGATCTTAAATAAATCTAACAAAAGGGGAACCGACGAATATAGAGAACTTAATAGGCAGATTAGAAAAGGAATCAGACAACAAAAAAGAAAAGAAAACGAAAAATTAATAACAACAACTATTGAAAAAAATAGGAGTATGAAATGTCTCAGACC